GTAGATTTGAATGCTTAGATGCAGATGCACAAATGCTTGTCAGTATCAGTGTGTATTAGGGCTGAGACGGTTTCAAATTTTCTACTCTGGTAGACAACATTTACCACACATTTACCATTGAACTAGAATGGTGTTGACAAACCTCAAAATGTGTTACAAAAACTCAGACACTGTTCATGATAGAGTGAGTGAGTGAGTGAGTGAGTGAGTGAGTGAGTGAGTGAGTGAGTGAGTGAGTGAGTGAGTGAGTGAGTGAGTGAGTATCTACTAACAGCTTTGAGCAATATTGTAATAACATATGGACAAGTCGACTTGACAGGTGAAAGAAAGGAGCACTACCACCAGTTTCAGTCTAAGTCAAACTTGTTGGCATGGAAATGCAAAGATATTTTATTCAGAAATCCAAAACTACCAAAAGGCACCAGTACACCACCACACCAATCTATGTGCCAAATTTGGTGAAGAAATAGTGAACGGTTTTAGAGTTCTGCTCCAGAAAAGAGCACTACCACCAATTTCAGTCTAAGTCAAACTTGTTGCCATGGGAATGCCAAAAGTATTTCATTAAGAAATTCAAAACTACCAAAAGGCACCAGTACACCACCAGATATATCCATGTGCCAAGTTTGGTGAAGAAATATTGAACGGTTTTAAAGTTCTGCTCTGGTAAAGACAAATGTGCATGGACGCATGGACACACGCACACACGCACACGGACGGAGTCCATTTTAATACCCCCCGCAACTTTTGAAATAAACAAACACCACTTTGCACTTCCAGATTTCAAGGGCATGACACAGTGTGTGAGAAAATATATTCGCTTGCTCAATCAGCAAGATTTGTTGTCTGTAGAAGATGCATGTCTGACATTGTGTCGCAGTGACCTTCAGTATCTTGGTGCAGTGCACGTGACACGAACACCATGCAAGTGCATACTGACACGGTGCTGTCAACTGCTTGCATCACGATGAGTGAACCATGGAAGATAAACAGTGCTCGGTGTCACACCTCCACCATGTCTACAGCATGTCTTGTCCCAGGAACAGTGTCAACACGCCATGCTGCAGAGGTCACACAACTCGTGTTATCAAGGCGAGTCTATTAGGATAACACAGGTTGGGATACATGTATCTGTACAATTGGGTATCTCAGGAAAGGTTCATTGATCAAAGACAAAATTTCCCACACATTTTGGGGGGATGATAAATATACCTGTTTGTCACAGCTTTACTTGTGAGTGAGTGAGTTGAGTTTTATGCCACTTTTATCAATATTCCAGCAATATCACAGCGGGGACACCAGAAATGGGTCTCGCACATTGTACCCATGTGGAGAATCGAACCCAGGTCTTAAACTTGATCAGCAAACGCTTTAACCACTAGGCTACCCTACCGCCCCCGCCTTACTTGTGTTTGTTAGTACCCTTTGTTCATTGTTGATACAACTGGTACATGTTATGTATCTTGACAACTTGGAAGCACATGACTGCTTTACCATGTAGTAGTTCAGGTAATATCTGCTGCAGCAAGTAAACAAGTGGTCGATGATCTGAGCAAGTAAACAAGTGGCCAATGATCTGAGCACAGGTCCTAGGTTGTAGGTTAAGGGCAAGAGGAGATATCTGCCTATCTACCTAGTGGTTGACTGTGTGAGTACTGATCCCAGTTTAGGGCCATTCAATACACCAGCAAGCTCAGACTCACTAAACATTACCTGCTAACCTAGTGGTCAATAAAATGAGCATCATTCGAGGTGTTGAAGCATACTACAGTGTACACAATTAGGGAGAATGTCAGGGCTCCTCGTTGTAACTATCTAATAGTGAGTCTTCCAATAACAAGATACTTCAGCTGAAACTGAAGTATCCCTCGACAACCTGATTTCAGACACTGAACATCATCAGACAGATACCCATGAGATAACAACATAATCAAGAGCCACTTCCTACTAATCACGCCAGATATTAGACATAGATAAGTGTTCCAGAATGGACTATTTACACACAGTGTGAGTGAAAAAGCACCTGACAGGGGCTCTCAAATACTTTTTTCTATCGGGCTGATGAAAATAAAAAATTAGCTGTCTAGCATGCTCTGGCAAGCTATCTTGATAAAGACTTCTCACCCATCTCAAACAGAAATTCAAGACAAATTTCTGAAAGCTTTATCTCTTGTAATTCAACTCCAACAAATTACACTGATTCCATAGCTGACAGAAACTTGTTACATATTTATTCCTATTGGTGTTTTCAGGTTTTCACACATCACAAGTTTTTGGAATGCAGTTTTTACTTGCATGCACAACAACGAGGGGTGCTGCATAACGCAGACATTGTAAATTCTCAAGCAATGACATGTTTTAGAGATAAAGTTGATAAAGAGATAAAGTTGATTGTGAGATGTTTTACAGTTATCCATGTGATTAGCATGACAACAAATGTTAATTAATGTCCGAAAACCCCAAAATACAAAGGTTCTTGTAATCACTTGAAATAATGTTTTTCTCTCTGCCATCTTATGTGTCCTTGCATTTGTGCAAAATAGTGCCAGGTTACAGGAGCCCACCTGGATATGCAGTGAACAGTCTAAAATCTCTACAAGGACATTAAAAATGTGTTGATCTTAGCATGGATGTTGAACAGTTTTTTTAACAGAAAATCTTAGCTCTCAAAACAACACTAAACTAACACTAATAACAGAATATGATATCATCATATCCAGAAACATACAAGCTCAAAGTCAAAATTTCAGGTAAAAAGGTCAAAATTTTAAATATTTAAAAAAACCCATCCCAAACATAACAGAACTAACTCAATACCAAAAGCTGACTAAAGTCATGAATACTTTTTTCAATATAGCTGCTATGGTAGAGCAGAATCAAAACTTTTGAAATGTCTGGGGTGTTATCATTCGTAGGAGGTTGCTTAATTTGCCGTGTGATTTCTGAGGAGATTATGGATATTGTTAGGAAATGACATCTTCAAAGGGAACAGGTTAGACTACAGTTCTATCTAAAATATAATAAATACAGAATTACTAATTAAACACATACCAAATTACATTTCATTTTGAAGAAAAATGTTTAGTAATAGGCAGAGGAGTTTCACCTTGCAGTAGGGTACAAAGTTCAAACGAAACATTTCAACTGATACAACACAGTAAATATACGTTGAGCTCCACAAGTAAATACCAATGACCTAAATTTATTGAAAAGCGGATTTGAACCTCTTGAGTACACATCATTTTTAGTGGGAATACGCATGATAGACAACATGTCACTGCATAAGCTAACTTGACATTCAGTTAGGAGAGCTAAATTACTGGCTACTTAAATCGACAAAAAAAACATTATGAAGCAAGAACTGCTAGCTGATGCCATGTTTATGTGAAACCATCATAAGCTGGAATACAGCTCACTGTGTCATAAAAAAACAAACAAATCACAAGCAGTAAAGAAACAGCTTAAACTAATCTAAGTTAATTTTGTAGTGAGTGAGTATAGTTTTACGTTGCATTTAGCAATATTCCAGCAATATCATGACAGGGGACACCAAAAATGAGCTACTCATGTGGGGAATCGAACCTGGTCTTCAGCATGATGAGCGAATGCTTTAACCACTAGGCTACCCCACCGCCCCCATTTTTTAATTACTCATATGTGTAGTAGGCCTTGGTTTGAGTATCAGCTGTTCCTTGACCTACATTATGTCATGTAATAGGTTCACGTAGGTTTAAGTGACCTGCGTATTTTGCAATCCTCTTCAGACCCTATGCACAACACAGTGGTGTTTGGAACACTTCCAGATGAAGGGATTTACAACCAGCACAGAATCGCAGCTGATGTCACTATGACACAAGCAGCCTACATCAGAAAACATTTTAATGCTTTCACCTCACCTAACAAAAATAAGTGGCTGTACAATACACCCATATTCCTTGAGATAATCCTCTCAAATCCAAGCCCTGGTAGGGCTTCCCTGGATTAGTACCTGCTGTGACATTAATCTGTTTTTCAGTCAGGGTGTGGTAGCACCGAAACAGTGATTGAATTGCTATTTCCTTCTTATGCTAAGGTGTAGCTGCTATCATGTAAAGTAGCAATATATTATAGCTGTATCAACCTCATCTGTTATCTGATACTTCCTGGTCTTAATTGTACTGACACTTTGAACCTAGTCACTGGCTCCGATTGTACATCTAGTAATAATGCAATACATGTTGTCCCCGCCTTGATTGTTCAGTAAACATGTGAAGATCCGGGTTAGAATTGATCTTCAGCAACCCATGCTTGTTGTGAGAGGTGACTAATGGAATTGGGTGGTCAAGGTTCGATGACTTGGGCGACATGTCATCATATCCCAATTGCTTAGATAGAAGCTTAAGATGTCAATCACTGGATTGTGTGGACTCGATTATTTACTGGCCACCATCATAAGAGTGAACATTGCTGAGTGCAGCATTAAACAAACAAAACCAAAAATGAGTTGTCTGGTCTATTAATAGTATTATATCTCCATATTACCGGTATATGATTAATACCTAGGACCCATAAGCAACTGTAGCTTTATTACTCTTATCAGTAAGTTCCAAGTTATCCAATTGTTCATATTTCCCTCTCGAAGTGTACTTTGATTTAGACTATCAGACTACTGGCAATCTACAGTTATGTCCCAAAACGGTTATTGGATAAAATCTTAATACTGAAGGTAAAAAAATATGGGAAAGGAAATACCTTTAATCTGATTTCAAAGATGATATGAATGAGCATATTCAATATTTATTTCACCTGATCTTAGTAAAGAAAGTGATCAGGGCCCTAGACTTTCAAAGCTCTCTTAGTGCTAAGATTGTCGTAAGTTAGTGTTAATGTATGGCACTTACGACCATCTTAGCGATAAGAGAGCTTCGAACATCTAGGCCCTGGTGAGCTTTATGTCAATATATACAGACTAAACAGTGTTGTTTCATATGATGAATGCCAAAGTAGATAAGGTAACTTACCTTGGCATGAAGTTTTTCAATGGCAAAAGCAAACAAGATGAACACATTAGTTGCTGAAACAGACAGACAAGAGCATAATGATTATCTTAAACCTGATAAATATAGATCACAAATATTAAAAAATGAAACATATTTTTATTTTTTTTCATTATGTACGAATTATCAGCAGTTAAGGCATGTGTGATAAATTTTAATTCATTTGTATAGCATAAGATAACATGTTCCTAGGGCATGTGTCTAGTAGAGATGTACTTGAGGTACTAAAACAAGGGGTTAAAATCATTTGATTTATGTCAGGAGAGTGAGTGAGTTGAGTTTTACATTGCTTTTAGCAATATTCCAGCAATATCATGGCAGGGAACACCAGAAATGGGCTTCACACATTGTACCCATGTGGGGAATCGAACCTGGGTCTTCAGCATGACAAGCGAATGCATTAACCACTCGGCCACCCAAACACCCCTCATGTCAGGAGTTGGATTGGGGTTTAATGTTTTGTTTAACATTAATTTGCTTGCATAGCCGCGGGATATCCCACTCATGCACATTATACAGACTTCGACACAATCCTGCCATGTTTCATCCCCTTAATGTAGAGCTCCAGACAGAGTAAAACAAATGCCATCTTTAAACATTTTTTTGTATTTTAAAACCAAGGGAATGAACCACCAAATCAGATCTGATCAGATACTCTTTCCACTAAACCATGCACACTAAGGAAGAGAGTTTTGATTTGAAATTTTGATGGAAAGGATCAACATCACAGAATTATTACATCATTTATATTTCCTTTCTTTACATATGTCTGGGAAAGTTCAATTGCAAAAAAATCATTTTAAAAACATTCTATTTGCGCAGGTTGGAACAACAGTGAAACAGTGTAAGAAGAAAGAAATCAACACATTCCTTTTATTCAGGATCTCCATGATCGTGAGGCCAATCCAATCATCAAAATATTTGTTCACATAATAAACGGATTCAACTCACATAGCAGAACTATGATATTTGGCCAGTTGTAAGGATCCTTTATGAACAAGTGTAGCCAGCTGATTGGGTCTATCAATATCCCATACCTGAAACACAATACAAGCACATGTACTCAGTCCAATGAATCATGGCAAAAATCACATTTAGTTTAGTTAACCACATCATGCATATATGCTAATGCAACATAGTAATTAATTACTGACTGACTGAGTTTGGTTTTACGCCGCTTTTAGCAATATTCCAGCAATATCACGGCGGGGGACACCAGAAATAGGCTTCACTCATTGAACCCATGTGGGGATTCGAACCCGGGTCTTCGGCGTGACAAGCCAACGCTTTAACCACTAGACTACCCCACCGCCCCAGTAATTACTAATTAGGCAAGTGCAACCTTCTGTGCTTGATCATCTGAATTCTTTCCAATGATCAACTTTCCCTTAGAAATATGTTCAGAAGATAAATTTACAAATTTTATACATTTCTCTGCAAAAAGGGTATAAAATTGTACTAAGGCTTACACTCACTGACTGACTGAGTTTGGTTTTACGCCGCTTTTAGCAATATTCCAGCAACATCACGGCGGGGGACACCAGAAATGGGCTTCACACATTGTACCATGTGGGGATTCGAACCCGGGTCTTCGGACTAAGCGTTACAAGGTACATTCAAAATTTATATATTTTTCTCTAAGCAATATGCAAAATCTGATATGCAGATGGAACGAACCAAAATAGTAATGTCAAAACCCAAACCTTTCATAGAGAGGTATTTAGTTCATGGAATAAACACACTTTCAATCATACTCATAACAACATACTGGTCTTCCTCAACGAAGGTAAACTGTTCTTTTACTTACTTCATGATATTCTCAAGGAACAGTCTGGCATTTGAGAGAACCTTGAAAAGAAGGAAAAATGTTTTAATTATAGCACTTTTTAACCCTGTTCAATAAGAACATCTACAGTCACTCAATGATCTATTAAAAACATCTACAATCATTCCCTGATATGATGGAGAAACTCTCCCCCACCCTCTTATGCATTCCCCTCCTCACCCTGTCCCCCCCCTCAATCAGTAGGTTCAAGGGCCACAGTGACTGATAGTTGGTGAAGCCGCTAGATGTGCTGAACAACTTATAACACTCCCAACTAGCCCTCCCCTATTCTACCCCACTCACTCACCAGAAGGATGAGACACAGGTTGAGAAGGCCCCGGTAGTTGGTGAAGCCGCTAGATGTGCTGAACAACTTATAACACTTCCAACTAGCCCTCCCCTATTCTACCCCACTCACTCACCAGAAGGATGAGACACAGGTTGAGAAGGCCCTGGTAGTTGGTGAAGCTGCTAGATGTGCTGAACAACTCATTCACACCCCCTGCCCCAGTCCCCCTCCCCCACTCACTCACCAACAAGATGAGACACAGGTTGAGAAGGCCCCGGTAGTTGGTGAAGCCGCTAGATGTGCTAAACAACTCACTCACACCCCCAGCCCCTCTCCCTATTCTCCCCCACCAACAAGATGAGACACAGGTTGAGAAGGCCCCGGTAGTTGGTGAAGCCGCTAGAAGTGCTGAACAACTCACTCACACACCCAGCCCCTCTCCCCTATTCTCCCCCAGTCCCCCTCCCTCCCTCACTTACCAACAAGATGAGACACAGGTTGAGAAGGCCCCGGTAGTTGGTGAAGCCGCTAGATGTGCTGAACAACGAATCTGCATTTTGGTGAATCCTGAAAACACAACATGATACCATAAGTTGTTATTCTTGAAAAAACCCACAATGCCTTTTTCAATACATTCAGTGTATATTATGCAACTTTTAAAATGGTCACCAACAACCAATGCATGATTGACACTACAGGGTGAGCTGTGGGTATGTAACATCTTATCACAAACTATAAAAAGTAGCCGATCACTATGACTAATTTCCCACAGAACCCGTAACAGAATTCAAGCAATTGCTTTTACATTTGTCCAAACACTTGGCAATATCTTCCTGCCAATCAGCAAGTTCTAATGACTTTACATGCTTCCAACCTTTAGAAACAAGTATATTTCCTTTCAAACTTTAAAAGATGACCTTGAATGAAACAGATTAATATCTTAGTTCTTCATGCCTATTTTCAAGTCTTCATCTGTGAGTTTTGTAACCATTAAATTGACATTATCGAAACAGTATTATTTGTTTCTAATAACAAAGCAATTTCTTAAATTATTCATTGAATTTTTAAGAAAAATTATTTGAAAATTTATCTGAATTCAAAATAAAGTTTGTATACAATATTTTTTTTCTGCACCTTGAAGACCTTGACCTTGAACAGATAAAACTGCTCTGGCCTTGCTGAGCTTATATAAAAAATGTATATTGATTTAAGGGGTAACCAAGTTGAGCGGACAGATTAAGCGGGCACTGAATTTCTGGCTTATCAGACCTTGCACTATACAGGTCTCACATATCATTTCTTGTACACCTAGCACAGCCCTGTGAATACATGTAGCTGAATAAGGCCTTAATCCACCTCAACCAATATTCCACCTAAATCAATTTACCAACTAAATGATGGCAGGGGATACAAGAAAAAGACTTCAAATAAAGTAGTACCCATGTTGGGAATCAAACTGGTGTCTAGGGCTTCCCAATCGCCCTAATATAATATCTACTTCTGTCAAGTATATAGAACATTGGAGTCAAACATATTGAACAAACTGGTGTCTTTAGGAAGGAATATGTGATATTTAAGCTTCACTGGTTCATTTTTACATGTTTACAATGCTGGACGAACAATCCATGACCGTGGCTACCGAACTAAACCAGATGTCATCAGTCTCAACAAAGAGGAAAAGGGCAATGTACAACAGTTTCTTATCACTAATATCAGGCTCATGGTGAAATGATTCTATTTTTGAAAACGATGAAGATGGGTCAACAGAATCATTCTTGCTCATGATGGTGACACTCCTACATTCCTCAGTGCCCATGTAAATATTTTTGTCTGTCGTATTGCACACTTGAAACACAAAACAATTCCATCTCTGCTTGTATATTTACACTGTATTCAAAACTGTATTGAAGGAAAAACTGTTAAGCCAACAACAGCATATTCAGTCTAAACACAAAAATCATGAATCTTTTCTTTCCACTCATAAGCAATGAAATAGACTGAATGATTATTTTCATTGTACACATTCACTTGCATAAACATATCTCATAACAGCATGCAAATAAAACACAATCTTTTCTCCTAATTGTATGTCACACCGACATATATGTTTACAGTAACACAGTGGCTAGTATTTACCCAATGGCCTAGTCTGTCTCACAGTCCCTGAACCCAATTATTTTCCCTTTTGCCCAGCAATGCTAAAGCCTTTGATGAAGCAAGTCTAAATTTCCTCGGGTTCTGAATCTCCCATCTCACTGGAGCTCCTTTTCAATTTAAATGGTATTATTTGTTTCTATCAAAGTTATATATATTTAGAGACTAGGTGATAGTCTACAAATGGCCTTGACATGTCTATTTATACACTCTGATCCACATTAGGCCTTGACATGCTCTAGCTGACAACATGTAGTCTGACAGGATATACAAGTCACTGCTGGTAACTGGAGGTTTAACTTGTTGATATATTTCCACATTCCACCAATTTAATCTTGTAGCCGAACATGGTGATAACCAACTAGACTAACGCTTAGTCTCTGAATATGTACAATTTTGATAGTAACAAACAAGCCCATTTAAATTGACAAGGAGCCCATGGGAGACCAGAGAATCAGAAACTGAGGAAATCTAGACTTGCTTTATTTAGGACTTTAGCACTGCAGAGAGGGCTTGGCAGTAGGGAAAATAATGTGGTTCAGGGACTGTGAGACAGACTAATAACCAACCTCAACGTACACATTCTTGATAACTGACTAGTGTGATCATATGTACCTTCTTTTGCATGTAAAATCACAATCTAGTCATAAAATGACAGCTTTGCTCATTCAAAATAACAAAGATTATGTTGTTTTTTTCCATGTTATTGAACAATGTAAGGTTTGTCTCTTGTCAATTTTCTGCATTATGATCACATCTCATATACTGAACAGAAACGGACCTAACCAAAGGCCTTGTACCGCAATACGTACTGTACTGTGATAAGAGTATACCGTTTCACCCCTACTAGCACAGATTATAGTGCCAACAAAAATGGACTTTATTGAGGCAAACCAGGAGTAGAAGACAGGACCAAAGGTTTCTGGAAGGGGTGACTATTGAGGGGGAAAGAACTATGGTGATAGCGATAGTCTATTGCAACATACTATTACGCTAGAGATAGTCTATTGCGGCCAACTATTGGAATACTATAGCAATAGTTTTTCTCTCCTTGAATTGTCTCATTTGAAGTCATTTCCCAAATGAATGTATAGTTTATATGAAATATAAACAAGTTGAAGTGATTCCAGTCTCTTTTGATAACTGGCAAGAAACTCGAAACCCAGATCAAGTAAACAGTCAAGAGGTAACAGGGGCAGATAACTCTAAATCAAAGTGAATGAATCTGGTCCTTCCTGTATTTTGCGCTGCGCATGTATCAACGGAAGTCAATTCCTAAATTATCGATAGTCACACCTACTATCTATGCATCAATAGTTTTTCGTTTCTACCATTGATTAATTGCTATTGGAGACTCAACAATTGCAATCTATCGATAGTTCAATGCATTGTTACAGACTTAGTTTCTGGCATGCCCAAGGGAGGTAACACTGCACAGCGAATTGGAGGCACCTGAGATGACTGAGCCACCTGTGCCTACCAATTAGCAGCATTCTGTACCTAAGCTGAATATTTCTGGAATATTTGTAAAGTTAGGCTAACTTGTTTGGGAAAAGGGAAAACAAGAGTATGCAAACAAAACAGAAATTCCATACACTAACACTTGAAATGAAATACCATGGTCACAGCAAATAAAAATGCCAAAACATGTAAATCATATATTTTGCAAAGCATGTACTAACTGTATGAGAAATGTACAACGATACAAACATATCTGAATAATGAGATGACATTTTCAAATGTCAATCTCTATAAACCTAACACTGAAATTGGTGGTGGAATATTAATTATATAAACATAAACGTGTGATAATGTTTTGAAAACATGTTTTATGTTTAGCAGCAAAGATTCTATGGATTTCTTGGCAACCTGAAGCAATGTTTGAAGGACTCAGGATCACCGCATACATGGTAAATAATACACTTAACACAGCCTAACTGCAGCAGTGTTTCCAACATAGTTGCACAGGTGATGAAACAGAGGCCTACCCTCATGACCACATTTGGTGTTGTAGCAGAACAGCAGGGGGTGTCACTCGTAAGATAAGATAAGATATTTATTGCATAGCATTCCATGAAGAAACAGTGGCAATATTCTATAAACTAGTACAAATACAAACACAGCAGGTACAAGAAATACAGATACATTTCACACATAAATGATGTACATTATAACAATTTTTTAGAAATCAGGTGGTAGAATGACATGGAAATAAGATATGAGGAGACTATGGTAATATACAGAATTAATTTAAAGTTGTAAATATGGTGACATATTTTGGGAATTGTTTCAGGACTTCTGTTTGTGAAAATTATTAGGAATTGTTCTTTTTTTTAGACTGTAGCAAATTCTTTGTCATAATAAAGCATTGTTTGTTGAAGTGATTTCCTTTCTTTGCTATACTTTGTACATGATATTATATGGTGTTGCTCATCTTCTAAGACACTGCACATTTCACAGAGATGTTGTTCTAGTGGGGTTGCAGGTTTGTAATATCACCCCGAGGGTTGTGTAGGCCCAGGCGCTATGCGTTACAGGTTTCACTAACAGACTCATCAAATTGAAGCAGCTTGTACCATCACAAAACTGAAGGTCAAGTGTGACATGAATATTGAGATTATAACATACTTTCCATTCAACAGTGACGTGTATCAAATATATCATTACGAGTTCACAAGTGGCAAAAACTTATTTTTAATGAGTGGGTGAGTGAGTAAGTTTAGTTGTCTGCTGCTTTTAGCAATATTACAGCAATATCACGGCAGGGGACACCAGAAATGGGCTTCAAATTGTACTCATTTATGGAATCAAACCCGCTTCTTCAGCGTGACGAGCCAATGCTTTATCCACTAGGCTACCCCACCGCCCCTATTTTTAATGAAACTTATTTCTATGATGTGCGCCCCTGCATCCCCCTTCTGGATCCGCCTATGGGGCTCAGTAACTTATTTGGGTTTTACATCATGACAACTGGCCAATCAGAGAGAGAGTTAGTTGATTTGCACACTTCATTTTCACGAGAGTTTCAATGGTCATTTAGTAAACTTTCAGGACAAATGGAGGGTGCACCCTGCCTATGATTCCTAAAGCATGTCACCATACTGACTTCAACATTATATCATATATGTGAACATGTCCACTTATTAACAGTGTACCTTGAGCGCCAACACAACTTTATTCTATTTCAAATAGGAGATTCATCATTATGATGAAGAGGGGGTGAAAAAGTCAGGTGGCACTACTGCAAAGTCTTAAACACCAAATAATTCATAATGCCTTGCTCGTCTCTCAAAGCATAGTGCATGAACCCCAACATGTCTGCTTCACAGAGCTGAAGATGACCCCCTTAGAGGTCACTGACTTTGCTGACCCTTGACCTATTATCCTGACCTATTTGCAAAAGAACAAGGTCA